TTTTATAAGCAATGTTAGAACAGATATAGATAATATTATATCTGACATTGGACATTACTTTTGTGAAGGGCGAGGACTAAACCAAACATTCAGATTTGAAAACAAACAAATACTAATAATACCAGCGACCCTACCCATCTTCAATCTTTGGACTAGAACATCCACTTTAAAATTTAAATCTAGAAGATTTTAGAGATCCTGAATTTTATTTAAACAATTGATTTTATAAGGAAATGAGGATAGTACTTTTGGAGTCCTAAGTTCTACAAACTCCGTTAAGCTATAGATTTCCCTTACACATCGGTAAAGTATATCAATGTTATAGTTATTTATAAATGCTAATTAGTTATTTTGTGTTATTAGTTTTTTGGGGATAGTAATAGTTTAGTAATACAGTTAATTATCTTTCCTAGCAGGAACTACCTTAAGTCATTACTATTTTCGAAAAGAAAAAAGAAATAGTCGGCCCATTTTATATTATTATGTATCGTTTGCTCACGTCATAAACATACGTTACGTCAAAATTGACAAAATATGACATATTTGTAATATCATGATAGGTAATAATATTAATTTTAACTTAATTCTGACAAACCTCAAACACTTTTAATATTAGTTGAACATTCATGTATTTTCAGATGATGATCTCTAGAACTGTCGGTGAGATTTGATTGATTATTTTTATATTGTATAGAGTATTTATTGAAGAATAATATAGGCTATAAAACATCACGATACAACTCTTAAAAAGAGAGCAGTGACCGTAAAAGTAGGTGACACTGCAGGGCCTTTTTAGAGGCATCTTAGTATTTAGTTTAAAAGTGGTTATTAGTATTATAATAGGTATTTAACTAGTACTTTAATGTCAACTGAATGCAACGTAAGTTTTGCAACTAGTGAACAGGTTCAAAAACCCTAGACAGTACACAACTTAAGGAAAATTTACAAACAACGTAATTTTGAAGGGCTTTCTCTCTTTTAAAGGCAAATGCATTATCATTTTACCATTAAGGTTAATTAGTTTTATATATATACCATATATATATATATATGCCGTTAAGGTTAATTAGTTTTATATATATACCATATATATGCCATACTATAACTAAAGTATTTTGTTTAATCTCTAGTCGTGAGTGTTAAATTATCAGTTTCCATGTAAATATGAAATTGTAAATATATTTTCATTTCTTTGTCACGAACTCTGTCTGTAATGGACGACAACACCATTCGTTTATTAAGGAGATGACGCACGGAGGATTTGTACAGAAATTAGATTTAAATAAATTCACTTTAGTAAAATTAAACAAAAGATACTTTAATGACGCACAGAAAAAAGTTAAGGATGTCTACTACCCACTTCCTGACTTCATCATAAGAGCAAATTTGTGGCGTTAACCATTGAAACAGCTTTAGCCATTGATCAGGGTCACTGTCCACTATTCCACTATTAGTCTCACTAATAACCAATTTGTTTAGCAACTTCTATAAGAAATGTCGAATAGAGATTTAGGTGCTTTGTGGTTAAGTGAGTACTTGTATTCTCACATGAGTTAATCTTGAACGTGACGTGAGACGTTCACGTCGGACGTTCGACTTCGATTTATCAGTTTCTTTTCAATTTTTTTTAATACCTTATGCAATAAATAACTAAAATAAAAAATATAACGGAAAAATTGTCACGAGTCATGTAGTTTTAAAATCAACTCTCATGCGAAATAGATCAACCGTGAGTTTTTTATTTTCCTTGGGCTTTATAAAATCTAAAGTCCAAGGAGTTCTAAATAAGAGAAAGTCGCATTCCATTTTCGGAAAACAAACATACCAGTATATACAGCATCATAACGCGCATGTGCGAACTCCAGAAACAGTGGCCATTCATACTTACAAATTGTCTCACGTGATTTACAACTGTATACTAAACTGATAAGGTTTGTATTTGTGTGTCCAAACTGAGATTGATATTCAACATGAATGAGCTTTTAATCTCGAGTTAACTTTGTTCATTCAACTTTAGAGTTGCCATATAAAAGTGTATTTCGGGATAAGGATAATACACGGTGCGTAAAATCCAAAACCTAACGAATATTTTGAATAAAATAATTAGTTGATTACTTTGTTTCTTAAGCTTTGACAGCTTACCTACTCAACCGATCATCATAAATTACCGAGACCTTTTGGATAGCAGTCCGATACACAAACCACTACACAATCCGGTCGTTTTAAGGAGAGACCTATTTTCAGCAGTGGACTATTAAAGGCTGTTGATGTGATGATGAACATGGTGACATATTGCTAATTTCACAATAATAAATACAGTAGTTAGATAAATATGTCACGGTAAGAATATTACAGAGTAAAAAGATGAAAACAAAATTATTTATTAATAACTGCTAAGAATTTTTTTTTGTTCCAACGCCTTGCAGCGATATTAGTCGTTTATTAACAATGTCATCCTAAACTATGCTAGAGTAAAATTGGTTTCCGAACGTTTTCCGTGAATCCAAGAGTTTATTCTTACTGACAACCATATAATTTATTTCTTGTAGTTTTCTCACAAATTCAACCAACTCTTCACAATGTATTCTTAATTGTGTAGTTTTATTTAACACTCCCATCTACACTAATAGAATAAAGAGGTAAAGTTTGTGAGTTTGTATGTTTGGGGTAATCTCCGGTACTACTTTTTACTTACCGGAATGTTTGAAATCGGAGAGTTGCTATATGCCTTTATCCTTGAGTGCTATAGACTACTTTTTATTTTACAAACAAATATTGCACCCAATCTAAGCCGGGGCGGGTGGCTAGTAATAGATAATGATAGGCTATAACTGCAGGAGTATCAGATTACTGCAAACAGTAGATACGTCATATCTGTTACGTCTGTATAATTAAAAAGTTAGTAAGAAGCAAATGGCATAAAAAATTATGAACGATATGCATCAGGTTATTCCTCTTAATAGCTTTAATGTCATGGTCATTTTGTACCTATATATTAGTTCTTTACAAGTCTGACTCACACTAATCTATATTCCACAAAGGTTAAGCAAGCAATTATGGTGACATTTAGTACATTACAAGTGAAAAATGCTTAAAGAGACTAACATACATACAACTAAATAACACACATAATCTATAATTTTTTTTTTTTTAAATCTTTAGATAATCAGTTAACCACAGATATTTATAAATTAGGATTGCGTTTCTAGTCGGAGATTTTCACAGCAAGTAGATAACTCCAGTGCTATAGCTCATCCCAAACTAATTACACGTGTATGTCTCTAATACTTTACCTCACTTTACCGTACATGAAAAGAAACCGGTTTGCCGTTTTCAAGTTATGCACTTTTGACGACAATATTTATTTATAGTCCACAGCGTATCAATTTGTGTAGTTTTGTTATTCGTTTTGTGTTATATTAGGCACATTGGTTACTTCTAAGTAAATGTAACACCTTTAAGACGTCATTGAACTGTGTAAATACGCAATCTGATTAGGAAACTGTGAATCAACGCTGATAAGGTATCAGAAAGTTATATTGATAAGCTTTTGCAAAGTGATTACCTAATGTGCTTACTTAGAACCCCAAGTACGCAGTATATGCAAATAAAGCTTAAGGTATGACCAATAGCGATAATGTGAAATTAATGTAAGCTAAACTGCTGTATTTTTATTAAATAACTATTTATGTACGGCTGATCAAGGACCAGTTCTGAGTTTGTCCTGAAGAAAAGATTGGTATATGAGCGGTAATAAAAATACTAGTTTTCTCGTCAAAACTAACTTCTATCCAGACCCGGTAAATTGCAAAACAAATTAAATGACAGTTTCGAGTCTACTAGTCTAGACTGAATAAGAAGTACTTACTTAACCATAACTGTCACGAAAATTACTTGTGTAAAAACTTAAATATTCATTAATTATTTAATTTGTGAAAAGTCTCAATGTTTATGACGAATTGTAGTCCTCCTACTTTGTACGACCACATTAGAAGTAGATTTTGAGGAAAACTGCTGTCGTTAAAACCTTTTGATGTTGTGTTATATTGCAAAATAATGTGCGTGTATTTTTAAAACCAAATAAAATCCTGTCATTATTTTTCAGAATCCTTTGTTTAAACTTAAAGGTTAAAACAACAAAACATGTGATAATACCTACCTTTCCTGGAAATCAATAAAACTCGATGTCCTATAAATGTTTAGCCTATTGTTTTATTATTTTTCTATGCCTAAATGATAATGCTATTATATATGTATATTAAATGTATAGGGATATAAGATGGAAAAACGTATAGCATAATAAGCTACAGGAAAATATTAAACAAATGGAGCAAACTAACTGTTGATGTTTATGAACCAAACAATCTTGTTTTACTTGTGAGCGGAAACACATAACTCTATTGTCAATACAAGTTGGAGATATAACAATAAAGACGTACGTCGTCGGGTCTGATCTGTCTTATCTAATGCACATTGCATTTAGCTTTAGTGCGGTTGCGCCACATGCTGGGCCCGCCACAGAAATAACATAGAATATCGGTCACACAGACTCAGGCGCAGAATGAACGCATCGAATTAATTGCCGGACGGCGCACCACTATCGGTGTGGACGTGCCGCGTGCGGACGCTTCCGTTACAACATTTAAAAAATATATTAAAAAAAGCGCGCGAATACGATCTGTCAAAAAATATAAAAAATATTTTTGACTATTTTAATTTGATTTTTATTTAGAAAATGTTTCAATGTTGTTTCATTGTTGTCTAAGTAATAGAGTTTTAAACTTCAAATAAATATGGGCAAAAATAGCCAGTTATCGTAAAGGTCAAATATGCTGTCGTCGATTATAATTAGAAAAATAATGATAAGCGATCGCGGTCGAGTGCAAATGTCGTTTGTATCTTGCGAGCGTTTGACAGTACTGCTGTGGAGACGTCAAAGTTTAGTTTCGCGGAATCCCGCGTGTTGATTCATACACCGGTTATCGTGGACGGCGAGCATAATGTGTGAAGTAGCAAGTTGGATTCCGAACGCAGTCGCAGTTACACTGCGGGCTGAGACAGCGCAGCCGGTTATCGAATGGCTCACGACTATTCGACAGGCGATCGAAGAATACGACCCCCTGATCACCATCGCGCCACCTGAGGAGGAACCAGAAACTCCTGAGAGTAAGTTCGACGAAATACTTTCGCAACTAGGCAAGGAGATCTATAAATTAGACGAGTACCAGCGCAACTTGGTGCCATCAGAAAAGGAGGTGTCACTTAGCATTCTTAATATTTTTGACGAGTGTTTAGAATGCATGGAAGAGGTAAAAGAAAACAGTAACAGTGTAAGTGACAGTGAATCTATCAAATCTGACTGTTTGTTAGTTACCAGTACTCCGGTTAATGTAAACAATGTCAAAGTGAGTGACGTAAACACGATATTCGATCAGGGGGACGGTACTCCTCTCCCGCCAAGACGGAACCGTTTAAAATCGATTTGCAGTAACACGATATCGGATATGGAATCAAATAATCAGGACAGTGTATCGGAAAGTGATTCTGTAAGTACATGCTGGAGCTACAAAGAATGTAGTGCGGAAGATAACGAAACTAACCCTTACGCTCAGGTGTGGTTACAATCAACAGGGTTTCATAACTCCGATGAAATATTAAGGCGAGTTTTATCGCAGCACCATGCAACGATATCGCGTCTTTCTTTCGACACGGCCAGCGACTTTATACCTGATTCGTATTCAGTGTACTCACTGCAAGAGGTGGGAGAATGTAAGGACAGGTGTGTTGACAGTGGTTCAGTAGCTATGACGCCAGACAAGCCGACGGACGACGGTTACGAGCCGGTGCGAGACGCGATCACTGACGAAAATATCTACGAAGAAATCGACTATGGGTATAGCTATACTGACGAAGGATGCTCTTGTGGTGGTAGTGTTGAAGTGGAGAGTTGTTCTATAAGTGCTAGTTCCGAAGGTGTGGGGAGAGAGAGTCCTTTGTATGCGAATTTAAGGGATCACGATGCTTACGCGATACCCGCTGATGTGATATTCTGGAAGAATATGCTCCAGGACCCTTTCTACAACGACGATGAAGAGGATGAAGTAAGTGCCAATTTATTAATGGTTATTTGAATTACTAACGGTCTACTTAGAAAGGCTATCCTTGAATCCAAATTAAATGTTCTGGTTCGCTATGCAATGAACTTAAATGGGAATGTAAATAAGGCCGCACGTCAAATGTCTTAGTCATTAAACACAAAAAGTCATTAGTTAGAGTAAGAAAACTGTGGTTCAATATAACCATAATGTATTTAATGTCTAAATAAGTAAGAAACGGCCAAACCACATATTTTGACTAAGGTTTAGAGTTTGTAAAGTTAGGGCGTGTAGAGTAATAAGTTTGGCTCTACATGAGATCTGATACCTTTTTGACAGTGCGAGCTATATTGTCTCGTCTTGGCAACATTTTACATAAAAATGTTTTTGGTTAGATAATTATATCTCTGTACTTTAACGTTTTTTTACCAAATATGTGTTTTAAGAAATGTGTTTATTTCATCAACAAATGATTAAAATATGTTATTTTTCTTCTTAATAACCGTATTTATTGAAAAACAACTAAATATTTTAGTAGTATAATAATAAAACGCCTTGTCAATAGTAACACAGGAACTTCTACGTTTACTATTTAAAAGTGCGAAACGTCAAACTATATGTACAATGCGTCATGTTTCCAATTAGTTTGTAACTATTTCCACTTAATGACCAGTCATTGTATTATTTAATGGACATATCATTAAGTAATTACTTTAAATCACATTACTATAAAACACCACATTACGTGAAATACTAATTCTACTGTCAAACATCCGATACATTACTAATTCATCACTAAAAGAAATACTAAAAATCTTAAACAAAAAAAAGTTGAACGGACTTCAAACTATGCTAACAAAAAGCTTAAAAAATAATTACAAATCTAATTGAATAAACCAAAATAAGTGCGACCTTCAATATAAGAGGTAACATTATAATAGCAATAGATACCTTCTAGCCTGTTTGAAGTCGGTGTCAAGCCCATCATTAACATTGTAACTGGTAATATTGTTTTTGTGTATTGTTAAATGTATTGTGTTTTGTTATCTCATTTGTTACTTTCTTGTACACATATCTCTGTAACCCAACACAAACACCTAACAAATGTCTAGAAAGAATAAAACAAGGTCAATACATGATTATATTATGGAAAGAGTTATCCTCTAACTTCTAAAGGTCATGGACCCTTCCATCATCAGCTCAGCAACATGTCATAACGACTACCAAACGCAAATACCTGTATAGCTAGAGAGAAACCTAAAACACGGTGTCAGAGCTGTAAAATTTGAGAGTTTCCCTCGATTTCTCGAACGAATTGAGAACTTCTTTTTGTGTTTTTGAAGTCGGCTAAAAATCATTTACAATATACATATACTTACAATATATATATATACTGATTAGATAACGTAACTAAATAATATTATTCTAATATATCTAATGAAAGTATATTGGCATCAAATATTAATGTATAATGCGCCAACAAGTTTTAACTATACTAATATCGCATGGCATAGCTAATCTCTTGCATTTTTTAATTTAACACGAATTTAAAATATCAACGGAATAACATGAATAATGTACGATAAAATACGTTTTAAATATAAAAGGAAAAATAGAATTTATCATACACAACACCAGCATAAATTCCCTGATAATTTTTGAAAGGCTAAATATTTTTTGGGTTCAAAACCAGATCACTCACTTTCAACCATAAAAAGAATACAAAATCGATCTAGGATCCTTTAGGAGCTATACTACCACATGCATATGCACAGACATAGGTATATAGATGCACAGGCTTACAGATACATAGAATCGCAGACACGAGTAGATAGTCGACGGTTAAAAATACAAAGTAAAACACGAAACGATTCGAATTACGAGACGTGTACAGAAATGGGTCATCATGAAAAGTCCCGGGTTCCGTGTAGTCTACGGTTTTGTTGACTCCGATAACTTATCTTTTATTTGTCAATGGCATAACTTAGAAAAGGAAAGATGTTAAGTAGTCGAAAGAATTTTAAGTGCAACAGTGTTTAGCTAACACTTGACAAGGAATACCATACTTTTATCAAAATTGTTTTGCACTCCCTAAGTAATATAAGGGGTCAAGTTAAAGTTTTGGAGAAGTGTGATTATAAATGCTCAGTGCAAAAATGAAATTCTCTACCGGTTAGCGACAGAGGATAATGATGACTCGGTAAATATATTTGTGCCAATTGTGCCCCTCTCACACTCTCCGCTCGTCTCCAAATTCACCGCATTCATCTGTAAAATCTATAACTTAAATAATAATCATTTTATTCTAAGAATAAGCTGGAACGTAAGAATCCAGAATCTTTAAACGCGATTTCCCAAAAAAAAAATTTTTTTGGATTATGCCTTAAAGTAATAAGGGTGCGATTTACTTACACCGAATCGAAGTAGAATTATCAGCCACCTGTGGTATACTTAGGATTACTGCATAGGACCTACATTATACACTACCTTTTAGTTGTTAACAATTTGATATAAGTCGGTATTTTCTTTCAATTTTTTTGCCATTTTGTTGCTATTTAAAAATATTGTTCAATAAAAAATGAAAAAATAAAGTTAGGACAAACAAAGAAACATCGATGTTTTCGATTCGATGATGATTGATCGATGATTCGAAGACTACGAATTTAAAAAATATCATTTTTTGATTGTTCAAAAAAGAACCAGTTAAGATAAGAATTTACTAAGTTAATAATTACCTAAAATATAAATATTAATAAAATACAAGTTGCCTCCTTGTTAACAATGATATGTAAAAGATTATAACACGTCATTGCTTGTTAATATATTCTTGCGAAGTGAAAGATTATTTCTATTTTTAGTTACTTGAACATGATGGGCTTAATGATTAGGTATCTGAATGGCAAAGGTAACAACAAAACATCTATGATAGTCAAAGGCGGTAGAACGTCTTTGGTCATGATTAAGACATACCGTTTCCTCCTCTTCAACATGAATCAGATGCGGGCGCTTTTAAAAAGCCTTTACTTCAGTATATTGTGATTTAGTCAGTATACGTCTTAAAAATTCCTCCTCACAGAAGCCTTATAAATTCCTATAGTCATTCACTCTTCACTCATTCTTTTAACAATTACTACAATACTGTTGATTATATTAACTAATCGAGCTAAAACAAGATCACCCAATTGTCCATCAGTCTAGACAGTAGTAAAATTAAATATTGCATTATTTTAGAAAATCTTTCTTTTTAAATAATAAAATTAAACATTTTGAAGTACCCATAATCTTTACATAGAGATGTTATCTAACAAGTAAGACAACTTATATTAGTCAATATTCTAGTCTAGTCTCATAGTCAAGATTTGTAGTAAATATTGAGCAGTTTAGCAATATTTACTACAAATCTTAAAGTAGAATAGTTTCCCGAATCATAGGTATTTAATTAATGGCGACAAAAAGCACAGATGTTGCTGCTTTTAATTACGCTGGTGGTGCAGACCAGTTGATTAGTGATGTCATAGCCCATCGTGCCATACATTATCATGGTTGACTGGTACTGCTATTGTTACTAGTTCATATACCTAGTTTTATATAAATTAATCCTCACAGAGAACCGAAGTCTGTTGTAGTGAATAGAAATTGAAGAAGAAGAATTGCTTACTTTTAAACTTTTGCATTCAGTATACATATGAAAGTTTATTTTCAAATTAACGCAATCACGTAATTATTTTTGTAATCGAAAGGGTATGCTCCAGAAGTGGTCCAATTACCACCAAATCAGGATCTGATGATGGGATCCTAGAGAAATAGAGGGAAACCCTCAAATTTTACAGGCCCGACAGCATGTTTTAGCTTTTTTCTCTAGCGTTATAGGTATTTGCGTTTAGTAGTCGTTATATCATATATGAGATTACAAAACATTTTGACAAAAAAGTTTGTTACGGAATTATTTTCATGTTTGTTATCTCATAACTCTTTCATTCGTAAACCGAATACAAAAAATATTTTTATTTGGAAGGGTATATTACCCCTTTAGTTTCATTCAAATGTGAAGAAAAATACCACTCCTAGTTTTGTAAAATTAAGTAATATGGAAAACAATAAATTTTCGAGTTCAAATGTAACGTCTTACTACCTTATTTTAATAAAGTAACGGACTTATTATAAGGTGTTTATGGGACTGACAAAGTCAATTATGGCTCAAAGTCCCACAAGCATAGAGAATAAAAAAAAAACTACTAAAAATACTACATACTACAGTTTGGTACTATACATTAGGGTACGTGTTTTAAATATCGTACTTATCTACTCATTAAAAACATATCTTACACTAAAAATGGAAAAATAAACCAAGCATATCAAGCCTATTTGGCTTGACCGAATAGAGTCGGCACCGACTTCAAACAGTCTAGAAGGGACTATTGCAATTTTAATATTACCTGTTATATTGACGGTACTTATTTAAATTTTTAACTAAGATTTGTAATTATTTTTTATTTTTTAGTTCTCTTTGTCAGTATTGTTTGAAGTCGGATCAACTTTTGTTTAAAAGTGTTTATTTTAATTCATATCAAACTTCTTTTACATGCACTCAAAAACTCATACGAATTAAGAACTTTTTCATTTTTGGAGACATCATAATGTGATAAACATATATTCCCCTTAGTTTCATAAAGTTAACTGATTAAAATAATATAAAGACTCATCATCCACTATCACCCATGTGTGTCTTCTCATTAATACCTGTACAGGCTTTTGACATTTCAATTCTATAGAAGCTCTCCCGATCTGCATTTTACTCTCTACAGTTATAACTTATACTTATTTGTATTTTTAACGTACGGTAACCCCTAGGGAGCAACACCTTGAGGGATTTAGCAACGAAGTTGTATATCCGAATCTCACCGACTAAAACCCCATACAACTCTTTACAAGAGACTATTTTGTGGGTGTGAAAGAATATAAAGCTTTTTTGTGAAATTTATGTTGTGCCGGCACTTAAATACCTT